ACGTGTCAGCTCTACTGTCCCAAGCAGCAAGAATCCTGGCTTCCAGCCTCGCCCTCCTCAGCTGCTCAGAGGCTCCCGTGGTCTCTGAACCTTAGGTCTTATTTCTGTGTGGGGAAAGGCCCAATTTCGAATGCGTTGGTTTGAAACGTCGTATCTCCACCACTCTGGGCAGACTTCCATTGGGTTAGGACCTCCTTATATTATTTTTGGTTTGTCCCAGCTGGTTAGCGGGAGTGCTGACCTGTGCTCTCTTGGCTGAAGAAGTTACGGCTGGCAGTTTGTTACTGCCACTCTTCCAGGGGTGCCTGCTTCTCCCGCAGGATCAGCAGAGAGGAATGTGGGATTCTCCCTTGGGTTTAATTCAATCCAAAGATGGCTAATTTAAATCAAGCCACCTATCCCAAACTGGCCTTTGAGGTCTGTAATCTCTCCTGCAGAGAGTTATTCCTGCCTGAGTTAGTCCTGTCTGAGTGAAAACCAGATCACACCAGGGGCACAGGGTACTTCTTGGAAAAGCTGATGAGTTGTGTTTGCTCTCATCTGTTATGCACGGGCATGATTGGAATAAGGAGCAATTCAGCCATCCATGAAGCAGTGGAAATGGATCCTAACTGATTGAGGAGCTGAGTAACTAGAAACCTGGGCTTTGAGTGACTAACAGTAAATTTAGTTCAGTGGAAAGACATGCAAGACAGCCTGCTCCTAAGTTGAAGAAGAGTTAGTATAGTCAAATGTTACTGTCCTCTTGAGGGATAATGGTTGAGGCTTGACCTGGTAAGTACTTGTAATGTGATCTTTTGGTGTCATGATGAAAGTGGATTGCCCTAGGATGTGCTTTTACAGTGTGATGCTGTGAAGGCTCACGATGGAAGGACACTCTCCCCTTACTCTGCTCAGGTCATGGGAAGTTGCAGATTTTGCCTGGCACCCCTATTCTGAGGTTTTTTTCCATTCTTTCCAAAGAGTAGCTGCAGAAAAATTATTCTGTAGGTGGAAAAAAAAAATGCATGTGTTTCTTTTGCAACCATTGACCTTGCAGCCTTGCAGAATCTGACCATGTCATAGCTGAAACCCCTGAGGCCAACAGGCCTGTGGGCAGGGAGATAACATTTTCTGAAGAGCTGCCTGGTCCTTCTAGAAAGTGACACACATGAAGAGATGCCAACACAGGGAAAGGAAGGAGGCTGTAGATGTTCTATGAAGTATGTGAAGAAGTGTAGTAGTTACAGATCGAGGAAGTTCACCAGCCCCAGAGGGACATGCTGTGCGTCAGAGAGGTCCTGAAACATGAATATGCTGGTGGAGAAGCTTATTTTGTTGCATATTGTACATGCCTGATGAGTCTACAGCCTGAAATTCTTGTAAATCTTTTACAGCCCGGAATGAGCAAGAGGAGCAGGAGGAAAAACGAGAGATAAAAAGAAGATTAACACGTAAGGTGAGAAGCAACTTTGATCCTATTACGACTCTACTGTAACTTTCTCCCTACTGCACAATTGTTTGCCTTTTTCCTCTTCCTCAGCACCATTTTCAAAAGCAGAGTGTGAAGCAAGTCTTAAAAGAAATCTTAAAAGAAATCACCGATGTTACAGGGTGTAAGTCCACAGACAGTGAAGGGAACCGCTTTGCAGGCTATTGCTGATAACATTTTGCAACTGGACAAAGGAAGATCTAGTCTTTGTAACAGAAGGAGCTTTGAACAGTGAAGGATACAGAGCCTAGCATTGGTCTAACCCTGCTCCCTGTAAATGTAATGGCTTCTGCAGCCATTACGAAGAGACAGCAAAGTTAAAACAAGGCTGATGGATTGCATTTGAAGACTCCATCCAATGCTTTAAAAAGCATTAAATTGGGAAATACGGGTTTTCTGAAAAAGGAGATTGTCACTTGAGATATTTAAACTAAATAGAGACAAGCACTCGCAGAATGGTGTATAGTGCAAAAAATGATCTTCTGTTGGCAGGGAAGGATGAACAAAACCGGCATAGTTTGGTTTTGGGTTTCCTCCCATTTGAAAGTCATTTACTTTTAAAACTGAAGAACAGTCATTTCAGATAGACGCATTCCGTTTCACAGCTGGTGTAAATGTCTACAGATGCCCCGACATACATAGCCAACAATCCATCTTGTTATTGCATTTAAACTTTATTTCACCACTGACATATTTCCTATCTCCAGAGGTGGAGAAAGCCCCCTAAAAATTCACATGCTTGCAAAGTAGCACCAACCCCTTCCTGTACATTTTTAGGTGGCTTAGTCTTTTTGACCTATGTGATCACAACCTTTCATGGTATAAATAATGACAAGGAAAGGGCTCTAAATACACATGCAAAGGTTACATTCAGAGAGGTGGATTGTTTTATTTTATGGTTAAAAACTCACGCCTGATTCTCAGTTCATGTAAATTCCCCCCGGCACCAACAGGGGGATACTGCTGTTGTCTGCAGGAGCTAAGAATGTGGCCCAGAGAGCTATAATATTATTTTTTTAAACACTTAAATTCCTGACAACAATGGCAGGGATGGTCTCGCATCCCCTCGTAGCGCTGCCTGAAAGAAAAGATCCTAACTGCATTGCAGATGTTTCATGGGACTTATGCTCTGCACAAAGGCTAGAAATATCATTTTATCAGGCTTTCGATTTCCCTGTACATTGAAGGGTAAACACGTACAGGAATCCAATCCAAAGCTTGAGGCCATTTGATGAACGGCTGCAACAGATAAAAAGCAAAGCTACCCGTACCCAATCTGCTGCCTAAGAAATGGAGGTTTGCAAACCCAGCCGGCATTATCACGGTGCAGTTCCCATCCTCCGCTATTTTGTAGGAAAGGTACAAAGCACATGAATCGTCTGTTGCAGGCAGAGGCCACAGCTACTTGCTGAACTAAACCTCCCAGGCTGCTATAGCATCACAGTGTCTCCTCCCTGAAACCTCAGCAGCCTTCTCTGAGATTTCTTTCTTTGTCTTGGCTGCACTTTGAAGTAGGAACAACGGCAAGAGCAGCATCTGTCCGAGCCCCTGGCAGACGGCTCTTTAATGTTCATACCCCCGTTCCCGGTCACATGCCTTTTAGTCTTTTTTGACTTCTTCCCTAGTAAGGATTTTTCTCCCCCATGTTTGTGAGGTTGGTAGCAACATGACTTAGCATTGTTTGATTTTGATCATCTTTCTAAACGGTTGTAAATTGTTCTAGTGACACACTGTAATTTTAATGAAAGAACCACAGGCCGGGTCTAACAACAAATTTTGTTCTCACCTGCCAAACATACTGTTATAAAAGCTCAGAAATCACTAGAGGAAAGAAGTGAATAAAGCGTGCAAGTGAATAGATAACAACTAGAAATGCTAACCACCTAGTGAATCCTGCAAAAATTGTTGTTATTCCCCAGCCCTGTCTTCCATGAGCGTGTCCCAGATGTGTCGTCGTGTCTACAGCAGAGTGGCAGGCTCCTTCTGTCGATTTGTACTGAAGTCTTATTACCAAAGGATTTTAAACCTCAGATCAAGCAGAAGTTTAATTGAGCACGGCAAGTGTTTTGCCCACCAGACCTTTCTGTTTGCACTGAGGTTTAATGCATACACATGCCTACAGGGTAAATTCAACATAAGGAAAGTATGCCACGTTGCCTCCTTGTAACTATGTGTAGTTGGTTATAAAAAGGGAAGGGGGTTCTGCAGAAGCCGCTGAAAAGGCTTTTGACCTTGCACTATCGAAATTGCTACTCTCCCCAGTTTTTTTGGTGATGTTATTCCAACTCCAAAGGAACAACCCACTTCATCCATTAAAAAGCTGTTCTTAAAATTCCTTCAGTACTGACATTTTGTTACAGTATTATGATGATAAGTTGTAACATGACATGCTGTAATAAGTAAGATTACCTTGCTAGGTCTAGATGCCTTATTAAAGTCAGCAATAAATAGCCAGTTGAATTCATCATCTGGACAGGCAATTTCTAAAAAAAAAAATTTAAAAAATCAGGTGACCTATAGCGAGCTGCCCCTTTAAGCACTTTTCATCCTCTCAGACTCATTTAACTCCAAATTAAGTGGGGATAGGGAATAGCTGCCATTCAAAGAACAAAAAGGAGTCAAATGCCGCTTGGTACAGTAGCTCGTGTCCCTCCTGCCCGAGGAAGGAAAGGTGAAGCGTATTTGCCTGTCACCTGAGATGCCCATGGATGGGTTCTGCACATCCAACCACCCCGTGCTCCCTCTCCCTGCCCCTCGGGGCCCACCGAGCAGCTTTGTTTGAGCGGAGGGATGTGTAGATTAGGAGGGGATTTCTCTGAGCACGGGTCTTGACCCACAAGCCCATTCCAGGAGTATTAACATGCAGAGACCCTCTGGGAGAAGTGTAGCAGGCAGGTCCCCTCCATGAGGAGATCTGGGGCCCCAGGAATTACTACTAAGAATTTATCCTCTCTGAATCGCAGTGAATTTGGCTGAGCAGCAAGGCAATTAACACAAGCCTGAACTCACCCTGAGGAATTCCATTAGAGAGAGTCATAGCCTGGATTAACAGAACACGTTACAAATCACTTGCAAAGAGGAATAAAACTCTTCTTTTCCTACCTTCCCTTGTCTCAAACAGCATCATGCTCCCTGTTCCCCAGAGCTGTTTACTGCTTCCTATCCCCCACTGTCAATAGCTAATTTTTCCCAGAGGTCTAGCTCCAAAACTAAAAAATCTCGTAGCAGTAATAACGACAACCGAAGTGATGAGGTATGGCTATTTCGTAAAATCCATGCAATACTCTGAAATCTTTGCTTCCATTAAATTCCTGCCCCGGTACAACTTAAACTCTCTGTTCACTGAAGAGCAAGCTGGTGCCTCACTGGGAAATGTCTTGCTGTTCAGTCTTCTCTTTAATTGACCTCCACTGGCTTGCATCAGCACAGGCTGTTCAAAATAATGAACCCTTGAGAGAGGTGGGTCTCATCAGAGGGAGGTGAGAGGAGGGTGGGGGAAAAAAGGTCAGAGAAGAAAAAAGGTTAGCAGCTAATTTGGATAAACTGCATTTATAGCCAGAGGGAAAGGTCTTCGGGGCATTTTCATCACATCCTGCTCCTGTGTCTTACCACAAAAGGTGGGGAGCAAAGGAGAGAGGGGGTTGCATGGGCTGCTAGTTAGGATCTGTAATTTTTCACCTTGGTTTCTTCCCTAAAAAACAACCATAACATTTTAATGAGGTAACAAAGTAGGCAACAATGAAGTGACAAGACAATGAGCTTCATTGTGACCAAAGTGGAGCAAACTCAGCATTTCACATTTGACTAAATCCCAAGACCAGACTGGCAAGAGTACGTCCCCCTCCACTTTACCTGGTGGCGGTGCTTGGGTTTGCTTCATTTCCCATGACGAGAACAAAGGTTTGTCTTAAACCTTCCCTTGCAAATTGGCTTAGTATCAAAGCTTGAAACGTGCCCATTTTTATCTCCAGTGATCCAGAATATACAGAGGAAAACTTGACCTTCCGTGACAGGACATGGGAGGTCCTGTCATCATTTATACTGCTTTTGCATTAATACAAACCCATTTACTTTGAAAGGGATTTTTGCCCTGGTTCACACTCAAATAACGAGGTCACTCTCCATAAAGTTGTCCTGCTCCCTCAGCTCACAAATCTTCACAAATAGGTAAATAGAAATGTGTACGCCCATGAGGTACACCCAGAAAAAGTCCAGACATACACATGTACATCCCTCTGACATTAACAGAAGTAACTAAAAAAGGGTGCAGCTCAGTAAGATCCCTTTCTCCCTGCGTGCAGCACCACCGCCTTGTGCAGGCGATTGCATCGTGTCCTTGACTGTGTCCTTTTACTGTAAGTTTCAAATGTGCCCTATTCTTTCTGCCTGTTAGAAGAAGCAGAGCTCATTCTCAAGCGTTGCCCAAGAAGGATTGTCTAGCATTAAGCAGTTTTGACCCAAGAGACCGCAGCTCACAGGTCATAAAAATAAACTCCAAGGTGAGGCCTCAGGTGAGCCGTGCCCTTACCGTGAACAGACATTGCACTGGCACCTACGGTGGAGCCACTCAGAGTCTGTTAGCAAAGCTGTTTTCCCAGCTGTTTAAGAGTGAAGATTGCTCTGGGTCTCAGACATACTGAGAGATCCTCATGCTTAGCAGCTCACAAGAAGTCTCGGCAATGACTTGAGAAAGAGGCAGGGCAGATTCTTAACTGTTCAAATAACATAGCTTTAATGAATTGCTTTTAGAAAACCACTCAGTGTGATTGTCGCTCTCTTTTCATTTAGTATGATCAGATCAGCACTTTGTGTTAATGTACTGAATATTTTCTGTGTATGTGTGTGTGTATTTATATATGTAAATATATATGTAGATTTATGCCCATACATGAACTATGTGGTATAAGCTGTGGATTTCAGGACTCTCTTTCACAGTCGGAGCACTGGCACGAGATTCAGTGCATCTTTTTTCTGTTCATAGCTCTGCCCTGGGCCTCCTGGGTCACCCTGAGCTGGTTGCTCGGTTCCTGTGCTTTGCTTGCTCCAGCTGCTCTGTGGGGATGGAGACACTGCCCACTGCTCTGATGGGGTGTATAAGTACCTGAAATTGCACTCGTTGTAGGTTTCTGAAGCAAAGGCAGGGCATCTAAAAATAATACACAGTAACAGTTGTATGACTATAGAGGAAGAGAAGCAGCAGCTTTTAGTCTGTCTTAAGTTCAGGTGTCACCTAAGAATGAAAAATGCACATCAACACTAAAATTTCATAACACGCTCATGGCCTTGATATTTTTTCATTTATAACTCAGTGCACTGTTCTTCACACCCAGCGAAGGGTTGCAGTGAGTTTCAGTGGTGCACAATGTGCGGGTGATGCACCTGATTTGTTTTTTGTGTATTTGAGAACATGAGAACTTACCTCAGATTTGTCTCATTTCATCAGGTGACCCTTAACATTTACCGTCATTTCTTTGATTTTAACCCACACCCACTGCACCAAGGAAGCCAAATTAGCTGTTTAAGACCCAGTGCAGCATTGAGGTAAATACCAGCAGTGAATTCACATTGTTGGCAAAAGTAACACTGCCTCTGTGGCTCTTGGTGCTCTCAACACCACCTAGACATCAGCCTGGCATGGCATGTTTCAGTGTTACCAACAGCCACCTGCCTTCTCCTTTGTACAAGCTTGTTAATTGCTTAGATTAGCACAAAGGTGAAAGCCAGCTAATGTCAAGAGCTGACAGAAGCTGTGAAATGGAGCCAGGCATTTTGTGAAAGTCCTCTTCCAGCTTGAAAAGCCTATAGGAGCTCCTGCTTCCCTTGTAGCCATTTAGAAACACAGAGTTTAATTCACAGGATTTCCTATTTTGTTGGTGTCGTCATCCGCCATGTAACAAACCGTTCTATTTTTTAAAAAACTCCATCCTAATTTGAAACAACATCTGGGCTCTGTCCTAAAATGATAAAAGCTGAGAAAAGTACAGATAATATTGGTGACTCATCCTTAATTGGTGCTGTTGTGAGAATAGAAGCAGTTAATGCAAGTAAAGATGGAGTCTCACCCTTATCTTTGAAATTTTGGGGTGTAGTCATAATTTCAGCATAAAGGTTCTTTATTCCCATAGTCAGGGCTTAGATTTTAAATAATTGGAAGCAAAATTCTGTGGTGCTACCTGCGTAATAATGCATCACCACTAACAAACCTGCAGCTCCTAGCACTAGGGCTGCTAGAAAAACCTAGCAATTTGAAATCACATTCAAAATGAGTTGTAGGACAGAGAGAAGCCTCACTCAGAGCACAACTGTGATATCTCCAAGCATGGTGTAGCAGTTTGGCTTGCTTGCTTTTGTTAAAAGCCCGTCTTATTAATTGCAGTGTGTATTTGGCAGAGGTGACTTAGGCGTAGGTATCAAGGCCGCAGGCTGAAGAGGCAATTGTGTTCTGCTAGAGTGAAAAATAACATTTTTATATCTGTATATGTTTCAATCTACTTTATTGTGCCCTCTGGCTTTTCTGACATGGTATTCTAGCTCACAGATAGGTTTGTCCTGCTGTCTTAAAAAAAGATTATGCCCACTGTATATGCATTTTGGTTTTTTAAAAAAGGTCCCCAAAACCTGTAGGCTGCGTTCAGAAAGTCATGCTTCTTGCTAACCTCACTGCGTATGTGCTCTTTGGCTGACCTGAGCATGGCTGGCCTGAAAGTGCATATATAAAACGGGGCTTTTCTTGGGAGATTCTTGGAATAAATAAGAGGAAGCTTATAAATGTTGTGTGACAAACACACGCAGAGAAGCTCACCTCAGGAAACTTCATGCCTCCCATACAAGAAGGTGGTGTGAGAAAACTGTCTAGTTTTAAGATCTTTGCAATATTCAGAAGTTTCAGACCAGCAAGGAGTTTTTCCCCTATTTGCAATTCCCCTGTTGCAATTTACCCTAAAATGGTTATGGAGACAATACATGAACTGCCAAGCTGCGACTTGACTGATGCCAGCTGTCCTAGGCAAGGGCATTACATGGCAGTGTAGAGTTGTGCTCCTGGTTACCCTTTCTTTCCGAGGTTTCTCTCTCTTCAGTGCGTGCAAAATGGCTGAGCTGCAGCCAGGAGGGGTAGAACGTGATTCCTGTCCCTGAGCATCTCACAGGTGGGGCATTAGTGCATCTGTGCAGACTCTCTCTACATGAGGTGTTTGAACCCAGTTCATGAATGCATGCTTAGGGCTGTCCGCGTAAGGAGAGCAGCCCCACTGTCACCTCCTGTCGCAACCATCTTTTCTAAAAAGAGGAGAGGCAACCATCCATGCCAAGAACAAGCATACAGGGATTTAAATCCAGAGGCAGGATAGGGCGGTGGAGCTATCTTGCATCAGCACCCAAATGCTGGAGAAAGGTGGGATTTCAAGCGTGTGCTTCTCTTTCTTGTGATCTTACAAATTTTTCACCCTCCACTTAGCATCCTGGCTGTTTTGAATCTTAATTCTCCCTAGAAGATGAAATGCAGGGAACTGAAGATACATGTTTTGGGAGGAAGGTGTAATTGCATGTCAGGATCCAGGAGCCTAAATACTTTTGCAGAATAGAGTCTCAAGCATTTTATGAAATATTTAGAACTTTCACTATTCACAAGGGTGAAGTATTGCAAAACACACCTATTCCTAATGGGTGGGAATAGCATGATATACTGTCTAGCTAATTGTTAGCAGGATATTATTTTTTCTGATATATCACAATTACAAATGTTTCACTCCAGTAGTGAAACTTTTGCAGCTAATGTACAGCCACGTGCACACATATATGTAGCCCCTTCTTCAGAAACACTTGTGTAATTGCTTTTGACATTAACCAACATGCTGTGCATCCAAGGAGAATTGATCCCTGAAAGCTAATTCCTGTCCCTAGCCATGTAACTGGCTGTACAATACGTGGACTACCAGCACACTACTGTTTCTAATTTGAGAGGAGGGTGTTGACTGTGGCTGCCTATTCTGTTGTGGAATTTGAAAGAAATGCTTTGGAACATTGAAGATGCTTTCTTGACATGATAAAATCCACCCCTGCAATTTTTTTTCTTGGCTTGTAGTATGCAATGTAAACTGTTAAAAGTCAAAAACGCTGTGACACAGAATTGAGCTGCAGCGTACAGTGAAAAGTTCAATGAGCAATAGTCATCGTCACCCTGCCTGCATTTTCTGGAGGCAAGGACAAGTCTGCAGAATGTCAGAATGGTAAGGAAAGTTGCTTGTCGCCTTTTGCACACAATTCAGGGCAAGATCCGCTCAGTGCCTGTGCCTGTCTCTTCTCAGGCTGGGGAGCGTACAGCCTGCGCAGGTAGTTTTAAAGTTGCATCATGGTCTTCGTCTCTTCCCGAGACATTGGTGCACTAGGAGACTTTCTTGCATTACATCTAATTTCTGCCAGGGGTGACCAACTTCAGCCAAGAGATTGGGGTCTCCAGCCACAGCTGCTTCCCAAGCAACAGTGGGCTGCTCCGGCAGCAAGGTGGGATGATATTCAAGGTGCTATAACAAGAGGTTATCTCCCAAGTAGCAATTCTGTGAAAGGCTGATAAAAACAACGGTACTGGGAATGTCAGAACCCTCTTATTATCATAACGACAGTTGTAGTAAAATAAATCCCCAAGCAGCACTCTGCAAGAAAAAAGTGAAGTCCTGATGTCTTTTTTCCACTCCTTCCTCAAACCTGCAGCTCAGTCAAAGGCCCACGGTAGAAGAGCTACGTGAGAGGAAGATCCTCATCCGCTTCAGTGACTACGTGGAAGTGGCAGACGCGCAGGACTACGACAGGAGGGCGGACAAACCCTGGACACGACTCACAGCCGCCGACAAAGTAAGTGGAGCAACTTTGGGAGAGCCGTGATCTGAATAGCTAGAGCACATCGCGGCAAACAGCATCTCTCAGGTCCCACGGGCATCAAGGAGTAAACCTCCACCCGAGTTCCCAACACACCTGTGGTTTCTTCCTATTCACAAGGTTTGTTGTTTGAGTCATAAATCTTTGGCAAAAAGGCTCCTGTATGCATCGAAACCAGGAGCAAGCCTAGCAGCATTATACCACTTAAACAGAGAGGGGAAGAATATCAAGCCCTTTGAGGAAAGGTCTCGAACCCTGTTATTTGTTTGTTGGTTTTGGTCTTGCCGCATAATGCTGCCAGCTGAGAGCTCCTGCAAGACCCAGCAGAGCAGTGTGACAAGCAGCACTTGCCAGAATTGCTATGCCAGGACAGAGCAGACCTGGGTGCAAAAAAAGGGAGCAGCAGGTCAAATAATTGGCAAAAGCACCTCCCACTGAAGCCAGGTAACTTCTCTCTAGCGTGTTACGACAGGGGTGTTTACTCAGGATTTCTGCCCCATTCCACAGAGTGTTTTAAGTGCTAAACTGAAATCGCGTGAACCCTGCATAAGAAGAAAAGCTGTGTATTTGGTATCGAGTGCGCTGTCCTCTGAGCGCCAGTGGGACCTTCACTAAGCGGTGTCTCTGGTGGCAGCACTGGTGGCAGAGGAGTTAAATTGCCGGCAAATTATAACAGTCATATCCTGAGGGTCTTAATGGTGCCTCAGGAAGAAAACTTCAACATTTTATGGCCACTGTAAGGAAAGAGGACTATGAGGCAGATCAGTGACTCCCAAGCTTTAGTCACTCTGTGATGTCCGTGTGATTTGAAAGACTTTCAGGTACCCGACTGTTTCTTCGCTGTGGGACTCATGCAGCAATGGAGACCATGATGTCCAATGTTTAGAGACAGGAGCAGGATTCCTGGCTGTGCTACTCATTTATGGTGCTCTTGGTTTTATTCACAGAGGAAAGGGCAGCCCGTTCTACTTGTATAATTTAACCAAAGGACTTGTATAGGTTTGTGACCATTGGTTTTCTCCTTGGCAGAGGGCTTTTTCAGTTTAGCTTTGGATAAGTTAATGTAGCATAAACTGATCTGAAAAAAAGAAAAACTTCCTCTGGACTGTCCACAGACCATAATGTACTGGGTTAACTTAGCTTTTCCCATTTTACCTCACCACAATGGACAAGATCTTATTCAGCTGACTTAGTTATATTCTCCCAATTGGTAGATGAGGGAGGGAATAAATCTCCAACTGGTTCTGCAGCCTTTGAGAGATCCCTGTCTGGGATGAAAGGCATGGAGAGCCTTCAGCTGGGAAAGGAGAAGGTTTGGTGTCCAGAGAGGTCCTTCCTCACCCTGTGTCTGTGAAAAGAACAAGTATTAAATACTACTATTAAATGTAGCCTGGTAAAGAATTCAGGATTAAGGCAAAGTACTTTAAGGTCCTTTTTTCTTTTTCATAATGCATGTGCAAAGTCAATACACAGAGCAAAGGGCTTAAGTTCTCCAAGTGACCCTTTTCTAAGCAAAGCAGGAGAAGAAGTAATATTTATCATTCTGATATTAATATCCCTTATGGCATAACAAAGCAGATATATTATTGGGGGCGGGGGG